ATGGTATTTAACAAGTTTGTACCTATACTAACTAACTAATTATTAGTTTCCATATGAAATTTACCAAGAACTTGACTTTGGCTCTTTAAAAGTTGTTCCATAGTCAAAAGTCATTAAATTCATTTCAGAATGGTACAGGACATTGAAACTAGGGACAATATTTTTATATTTTCAGACTCATCAATGTTGTTTGGAATATGATGCTGAAGAGGAATTCCTGCCTTAAGGATCACGACCTAACGATGAAGAAGCATCTGAGGAGGAAACGGGCATTTGAACAGATATTATAGAATGATAATAAATAATAATAAAGTTCATTCAGAATGTTGACTTGAATATAAATTAAAAAGATACATATTGGTATTGAATATTCCTGTGGTTCAATTTGTGGCAATAATAAACACATCTTCTCATATTTAGTGAAGTTCGTAGCTTCAATAAGATGATTTAATGAAAAATAATCATTGTTTCACTTCAAAAATACTTTACCTATATACAATATTGGTACAATATATATAGTGTTTTCAAACTTACCTGCTAATACATCTGTACAACAATAAACAGGGTATCAGAAGAGAACAAACTATATAGTAGAATAAAAATTGAAATAATTCTTCATAATTATGTACAATTTATTAAAAAAATTGTATTGCCATTCATACATACAAGTTATATTCCAATAAAAAACAGCAACTTGACAAAGAACCCTGAACAATAGAATACCATATATCTGAGGATGATTTCTATACAATCTTGAAATCATTTTACTCTAGTGAAATTCTGAGTGGCTCACTACGAAAATGGTCCTGAGTGTGCTGGAGTGGAATATCACATGTTCCTCATCATCTAATTGATTGCTTGAAAAATAGATAAATTGAATATACATTGGGGTGTGTATAATTTGCAGCCTAGAATGAAATGCTGGGGACTGGCTATTTCCAGCAAACAAATCGTTGTTCTTACTATATGGATTCAGCTCATCGAACTACAGGATGAAAAGTTTCTGATTTTATTCACTGCCCCATTTTCTTGTGTGTTTTTTCATAAAATCTTGTGAACTGGATATTTTTGCAGCTCGACTTTCAAGGACCTATCTATAAAAAATATAATGATATTTTGTGTTTGGAGCAGAATATCCATAAGACATTGATGAAATAACCAGATTGAGTCTAACCTTAGTGCTTCTATATATTTATTTCAGATGGTAAATTTTCCATTCTGTTCTCGAACATCATCATCCTTCTGGTACATTCCTTCTGAACATCACTCACATAATGATTTCTAATGTGATACTTCCACATCACTCATAGTTTTTCGTTTTTCAACTGAAAAGCTATTAATGTAACTACTCTTCGCTGTAGGTAGGTACCTGAAATTTTACATCACTGAAGACATATTTTCACTGCAAACAATGGAATTTCATGAATTATATAGTAACTTATCAAAAATATAGAAGGAAATAAGTAGCCCCTACCTTTCTGCTTGGCTTGCATGTCGAAAAAGTGTAATAGCACTATTGAGTTTCCGAAGTTTCCACAGTTCCAACTTAAATTCAAGTTGCATCATAAATCATACTAATACAGCATTTCCTAAACATCTTCCTGCTTCCATTCAAGTATAGGTAGATGATTTTCATACTTGATAATATCTTTCGTGATAATGTTTCATTTTCGGGTTTCAACATGACAGATTTTTATTTACAAACTTGACAGGACCATGAAAAATGTTACGGTTAGGAATAAAAAATGAATAACTTAGTTTACTTGGTTCACATTGATGTCTCTGTACTACTGAACGCCTTCATTTATTTTTTCAAAGAACAGACAATATTATGCTCTCGCCTACTAACTACCTAACTAGGTTTCCATTTAGATCGACAATGCAGAAACTGTAATCATATAATCGGGACCGCATACGAAAATAAAAGTTGATGATGATTCTACGATTGAAACGTCGCGTAGATAAATCAATATCGCCACGTTAAATATCATCAAGTTGCCATGGAAAACTAAAAACAATGTTGAAATTGTTCGAAGGCCGTTGATTTGACCTTCTGAATTCGCAACTTTTTACCCATGCAACCTTATCTTGGTCACACTGTATGTAGTTCCACAGCTTCCTGCTGTTATTCTTGTAAGTGTGCACGCATTATAATTATTTTCAGGACATTATAAAACTCGAAATGTTGAGTCGTAGGTACCCACCTTCTCCGTACAACGCTTGGTGATGTCGTTGTTGAAGTGCGGCAGCTGCTTGAGATACGAGTCTTTGCTCCACATGGCCTGCGTCACCATCTGGGCCAATTCCATGGCGGCCACGGCCGGCGACAGCCACCCGTTCGAGCTGAGCACGTCCACGCACGCCTGGATCAGCCTGATCGCCTTGCCCAGCACGGTCTCCGTGTCGCCCTGCAGCTCCGCACCCAATTGCAACCTGAACGGAAAATCACCAATTCATCACCAAGTCATCTATTATAAAGAGGAGATATTCCATTGTTTTCCGTCGACCTCGTATTAACGAGTAAGTTTAATGTTCATGAAATCGTTTATTAATGACCCCTATTAATGATCAATTTGTCTGTTAATGCACGATTGTTTTATAGGCAACTAAACATACACCGCGTGCATTCATTGTTTATGCTGTAACTTACAGAATCTGCATTTAAATCAAAAATATGGATTTCATCGAAGATTTTCCGTTAACGGGTTCGCCTTTCCAAGTTTCTGTACACGATTTTAATCCCTGTTTTCTAACACAGGAATTAATTTTCTATGTTGATCATTTCGACAAATGTCAAATGTCACTAATGTCATAAACAAGGCTACTGGATGATTCTTAGCAGTTTCCGGATGAATGATGAATTCGCGAACCAAGTTTTCTTCATTGCAGGAGAAATGAGAAATATAGTCGACGGAAATTTTTTTTAACCAACTTGTATATCAAAAGGCAATCATTAATCGCCCTCATTAATACACTAGTTGGTTAAATAACTATTGTTTGTTTGATTGTATTGAATAGGCTCCGAAACTACTGGATCGATTTGGCTGAAAATTGGTGGGGAGGTAGCTGAGAACGAGGAGAAGGTTATAGGATACTTTTTATCCCGGTACCATTAGGAAATTCAAGATGGTGGATCTAATATAGTAAATATACCATGTATGCAGATGATCCAGTACTTTTATATGAATGCAAGAATTCTTCAAATTTGGAAAATATGATAAATGAAGACTTGAAAATATTTGAATAATGGCTCCGCACTTACCTTTTATCGATAATTTTTTTTTATCGCTTGGAGCACACGAAAGGAAATCCCTATAATGTTCAAAGAACATCGTTCGTTCCTAGGGAGGATAGTGATAGGAGGTAGGTATTGGAATTTTTTTTGAACTTCTGGAGATTATATGTTGTTGGGAATACTTCCTCAGGCAATGAATTCCAGAGCCTAGCCGTTCTATGGATGAAGGAGTTTTGATAAAGTGCTGTTCGATATCTTTCGAGGCTTGTCCAGTTCGTCTGACTGGTATTGCAAGTAGAGGGATGATAGCAGAGATTTCCGAAGAACATTTCCTGTGGAAGTATCGATAGAAAAGTGAAAGGTCGCCGACCTTTCTACGGTGTTCCAATGATGTCAAAGAGTGAGTGAGTGTGGCGTCACCCACCAGGCGAATGGCTCTTCTCTAGATGGAATCTAAGAGCATCAGCGTAAATTTTGGTGCTGAACACCATATGTGGGAACAGTATTCTAGAACAGGCCGTATCTGCGCTTTGTAGATCATGAGAAGCTGTTGAGGTGTTAAGTAGCTTTTCGCACGGAACAAGAATCCGAGTTTTTGTGAAGCAGCTTTTGCAATGGATCTGACATGATTATCCCATGAAAGAGTGTTGCTGATGGAAATACCGAGCATAGATATGGTGGGCTTGGTGGGGATGGTGGAGCCAGACATTACAATATCGGGCATACTGAGTTCCGCCTTTCTAGAGAAAATACAGGCTTGAGTTTTGGTCGCGTTGAATTCAACTATATTGTTGGTTAACCAGGCTGTGATTTCAGCAAGGTCTTCATTGACAGCATTGACCTGCCTGCGCCGTGAGTTCATAGTTTCCAGGGAAGAAATGGAAATTCTGGAATAGAACGCAGTATGGAGGGTACTATCATCTGCAAAGCTGTGGATGGGGCAAGTTGTTACTCCCAACAGATCATTGATATGAAGAAGGAATAATGTTGGTGCCAAAATTGATCCTTGTGGAACGCCGGAATTGATGCCAATGGTATCAAACGATACACCGTCCACCACCACGTGAAGCAATCTGCCTGAAAGAAAACTCGATAAGAGATGGCATAGCTGGGGGTGGTAAGCCGTATGATGGTAGTTTGTGGAGGAGTCCTTCGTGCCAAACACGGTCAAATGCTTTCGATATGTCCAACGCTACAGCTAGAGATTCCCCGTGTTTTTCTAATGAAGCTTGCCATAAATGGTTGACGTGGGCAAGTAGATCTCCAGTAGATCTTCGGTGGCGAAAGCCGTATTGTCTATCATTGATGATTCCTGAGCTCTCCAGATATTTGATAAGCTCAATATTGATGGCTTTCTCAATCACTTTGGAGATTACTGATAACAGGGCAATAGGCCTGTAGTTGTTGGGCAGGTTCTTGCTCCCTTTTTTGGAGATTGGTTGAACTTCAGCTGTCTTCCATGAATAAAAATAAATGTTTCTCAGTAACCTGAATTTATAGTGTCTTCCCTAGTGTTTGTATCAATTCATCAATTTCTTTATGCCATTTGAGCTTGCAATCTAAGTGTATAGCATGAAAAAGTTAGCGGGGTCAGCTAGTTAATCATACATCTAAACGGAAACTCTCACCTGCACAGATGCGCCTGCAACAGCAGATTGGTCTTGACGTGCGGATCGTTGTATTTGGGCGGCCCGCCCGCCGCCGACGTCAGCTTGTTGGGCAGCTTCTGGGCGAGCTGACGCAACAGGTGGTCCTCGCGATGGCGCACCGCCACCTCCTCGTACTCGGCCGCCGAGGAGATGATCTCCAACAGGCCGCGAATCTTGGTTTTGGCGTTCAAGGACAAACTGAACAGCTCTGCGGAAATACGATCGGTTTTTTTGAAATAAGTGCATGCAGGATATCCCATTTTCGACGTTCTTACGGGATATCTCACTTATTTTTGAAGATAAAGATTTGCGTTTTTGCGGGCGTTGACTACTTTTTTGTGAAATTCACGATACCACAATGGTAATTTACGTAACAAGTCCGGAAAATACTGTTTTCTTTGGACAAGTAGACAAAATTTTAGGAAACCATATGTAGAATGATAATTCAATGAGACACATTACCGTATTATAATTCTTTGTGTAATTCAATTTCCTCTTTATCAATTCTTATTTGTATCAAATACTGAAATTTGAACAGAATACCTATACCTTCTAATTGCTATATTGGAAATTTCGTATGGACATTTTCAAACTCACTATCGCAGCTGCTTTCTATAGTTTATTGCGATAATTGCAACCAAACTTTCAGAATTCCAAATGTCAACTAATTTCATGTCAAATAGCTGTCAGCCGATATTTCGCTGCTATGGTGATTATCATCTGCATTTATCAAAACATTCCAAGATTTTCATAGTTACAGTGACAACAATGATGTGATACTTCCCGGCCTAGTCCGGTAAGTACGTACTTCCCGGACTAGGCTGGAAAATGCTACTTTCTCAAAGAAAAAGCGTCCGGCAAGTGAGCACTTCCCGGACGGTTGCCGAAAAAAATTTATTTTCTACAAATGTGCGTGATACTCGCACGCAATTTAGTTTGGTAAGTGTCATTTTCTCGCAGTAGTACGGGAAAAGTTTTCCTACAGTAGTGCGGGGAAAACATTTACACAATATGAAAATTTTAGGTTTTCTTGTTGCAGTATTTGGTAAATTTGTAGAAAATCATCCATCAAATTGTACTATTTATTGTGAAAATGAAGAAATATTGAAAAATAATAATCGATTGTTACATTGTCAAATCCCCCTATAGCCTTTAATTGATCTGATGTGGGAAACAAATGTTGTCATGTCAATCAAAACACAAATTAGTTAGTGTAATTCTCAGAGTGACAGACAGAGCGTTACTGTCATTTGCAGGCATACTTGATCGAACAAATCAATCAATTTCCTACGCATGTAAAAAAATATTGTTCCTAACTCATGCGGAAAGTGTCTTTCCCGCACTCGACTGCTTGCCTGAACTCACTTAAACAGTTTTTCACGTGGAATTCAGTGGCGTAGTCAGATTTTCAAAATAAGCTGTTATTATCTAGATATAACCCACAGTTATTTTTTTTTCGATGAAACACCCTGTATATTTTTTCATATTTGAATTATTGATGCTTTGTGCTTTCCAAAAATATATAACACTTATACGATATTATGAGTATTAGCCTTAAATTTAGATAATTTGGAATGTTTTACTATATTTCTTATTGATCGGCTCTCTGAATGTGTAGCATCATTTATAATATCATGAACTTTCATATTAACCCTGTTGCTGACAGAGTGTTTCGTCACACACTAGTTTAAATGTCACCAAAATTTATTATTTACCAATATTCAGCACTATTCATTGACTATAGAATCTGTGGACCTAATTAGTACATAGCAATGAAAAAAAAAGCGAGTGCAGAATGTTTCATAATTATTCTAGTCACCTATTTACAAATTTTTCATCTAATTTCAACTGGAAAAGGTGTAGTATTTGTTGAAAGGATAAATATGTTTATATGTTGTATTGGAAATGGTTTTGAAGTTCATTTCCTAATGAAAAAAATCGTCCAGTTCCTAGGATGGTCAAAGCACATTCATAAATTCATCAAAAATATATCATCATTCACATACCGATGGTGGTATAGTTGATGTAATAGTAGGCGGCGATCATGCCCAAATTCAGCGGCACGCAATCGATCTCCTCCTCCACGCTGATGCACTTAGACTGCTCCAAATCAGACAGCGTTCCTTCTACTAATTCCGACAGATGGTCGGACAGATGCCGATGCGTCACACCCTGTAGATTGTAGTAGTTTGGGTTCTGGGTCAAGCGCCGGTAGACGAACGTCCAAGTGAGATAGTCGACGGCGTCCTGCTTGTTCTCGATGGTTTTCGTGACGATTTCGGCGTTGAAGTGGTCGTGCAGTCTGTGATCCAAGTGGCTCTGAAATATTCATGAATGCTTTTGTTTTGTCGAACACTTCCATGTTTTGAAAATAACTGCAGTACACATACACCTGAACTATGTCTCTATCCCTTGCCAGCAAAAAAAAACAATAAAACGAAGGTCCTTATGACTGCGCCAATAAGACCTTTAGCACATTTAGCAAAGTGTTTCGATGAACGGAAACTAACCTGCACACATAGAACTCCCAAAACATGTGAAATAGGTCAGTTTTGTATCATATTGCAAACAGATTAGATTTTTTGGAGTTTCTATTCTAGAATTTGCGAAAGAACACATTTTCATTTCTAACTGTAGCACCCTGTATTTTGAAAATACAACATTCTCAGCTGATTCTAACCAAGTTTGGTCACTGAGAAAAGAAATAAAACGAAAGTCCTTATGACTGCGCCAATACGACCTTAAGCACTGATCATGGTAAAATGCACTACCTATGAAATAAAATCCACTACCTTGAGTGTTCCGATAAACAGAAACCAACCTGCAGACATGAAACTCCCGAAAACATGTGGAATAAGTCATTTAAAAATATGAAAATCTATCTTTGACGAAAATAAACTCGATTTGATATTCAAACGGATAAATTTTTTCAAACAATTGCATTTATGATTTACTCACTTCAACTGGCAACGGATCGCTCAGAAACTTCTTGAAAAAGTCCTTCTTCGAGCTTTGGCACATCAGCACGCACTTGGCGTCGTCGTCCTCCAAGGGCCTATTGGCCCTGCCGACCATCTGCAAGACGTCCGTTATCGGATAGTCCTCGTACGCGTGTATCTTTCCGTTGTAGAATTGCGTGTCCATTATGACCACTAGATGACTGAAAATCAATCATTTCTCAGATAGAATATTAAATTATTATGATGTTGGTGTTAAGATAGTAGGAGGGCTGGCTACAAATTTCGACCTTTATCTGATGAATATATGATAAATGTCCGAAAGGCAAGTAAAAACATTGACTTGATCGAACGGCATCTGGGCAAAATGATTGAAAAATGGCACTTACCTGTGCAGTAATTTGCATTCGATTTCGCGAATTGATGACTAGATAAGAGTTATGCCATCTGATACTGATTTTTTTTTATTTATAGAAAATGTGACTTCCAGTCAGAATCAAGTTCTGGTATAATGAAGTATAGTTAAAAATAATACCTAAAACTACACAATTATAATAATCTCATGAATAAAATAATTTTTGAATACATTGAATGAAGAAACAAATACATTTTCTTTGGAAGAGCACTATCTGATTAATACTCTCAAAATTTCTTTCAATATTATTAACAAACACCTCAAATCTAACTTCATATCGGTAAGGAATTCTCAAATCCATGAACATCATACTTGTTTCATCTTGATGCTGCTAATTCTATACTTGGTCAAAAAAGTTCACTCACGGAGCTATCCCAAAATTCAATAAATTACCTGATGATATCAAAAGTTCCATAAATATCACCCAATTCAAAATTAAAGTCAAGAAACACATCCTCTTGCAAAGAGAAAATCAAACCTGAGTGAATGATTGCTCATTCACTAATTTATTTCATCATGTCATAATGTACTTTTCATGAGCTTTTTGTTTTATTATCATTATTTTTCAATATGTTGTTTATTTCAATTACTTAGATTTAATATCCAAAACCAATGTTTTCCGTTGTAGTATAGACGACATACCTTTAGGCACGAATGACAGTGTGATCACGAACAAAATATGCACAACATTTCTTGGGGTATCAATAGGCAATAAACTGAAATTCGAAGACCATATCGCAACGCTCAATAAAAAACTTTCTTCCGGTTGTTATGCTGTTAGGATAACCTCTAGTGAACTAGGATCTTCTGCAGCAAAACCTGTATATTTTTCATTGATAGAATCACACTTGAGATATGGAATACCTTTCTGGGGAGTTTGTGCTGATACTCATTTGAAGCCAGTTTTTATTTTACAAAAGAGAGCGATAAGATACTTAAATAAGGTCAAACCAGGAGTCTCTTGCAAACCTTTATTCATTAAAGATAAAATTCTGACGCTTTATGCCATTTTCATATTAGAAACGGTTTGCCTTATCAATAAACATAAAAAAGACATTTTCGAGTTCAAATTCTCATTATATTACCCGCCAAACAAATCACCTCAAACTGTTTATACCCACCTCGTTAAGGACTCAGTCATATACAATGGTCTAAAAATGTATAATCACCTACCAAATTATCTGAAAACCACGGATAATGCTCATTTCAGAAAGGCCGTGAAAGAATTCCTCAGTGAAAGACCGTATTGTCTACAAGAATTTTTTAGAGAATGTTTTTAATCTGTGATATTGATGATGTATCTTTTTTTATTTTCTTCACTGTGATAATAGTTATAATTTTTATTGTGTATATGGACGTGTGACACTGTTTAAAAAAATACATAGATAACATATATTTGTAGTTTTTGGAAATTGTAACTTTGTCAATAAGATATACTCTTTGGACAATAAAGCATATCAATCAATCAAATAACGCATGAATAATCTCATACCAGATATGAATCTGTCTGATTATTCATGTTATTTCATTGTAGATCTTAATAAATATAGAGTTCTTTGGAAGAGGGCACCTGATAGCTGGAAAATTACCTGAAAATGTTGACTGCCCAGCACAAGTCTCTCGTGACGACCGCTATTTGCACGGCACCGGAATCGAAAAGCTGTTCCACCAATCGCAGATCGCTAGCCGTTAGGCCTTCGTGCATGTAGGCTACACCCTGTGAAAGGGTCTCCTTCAAGGTCTGCAAAGATTCAGATTAGATTACTTCAAAGTAAAGTTTTGCAATGAAACTAATGAAAAATTGACATGTCAACAGTTTTTTCTTCAAATTAGTCGCTGAAAATAGGCTTGTTTGTTTGAATTTCACAAAATTTCAAAACGAAAGTGGTTTCTATTTCAATTTCACACATTTGTCTCGAATTTGAACGTTCTATTGCAACTTTTAGTTCTCGATATTTTCAAATTCAATTTTCAACAAAGAAGTTTGCAATATTAATTCTGGTCTAGGAGAGCCTAGACGGCTGAAAACTGTGAAGAGTCCACAAAATTATTCACCTGGAAAACAAAATCTGGCATCTCGAGATTCTGCTCAGCCAGGTATTAATACCATTGCTTTATTTTCACTTACCACGTACTAATCATCCCGTTTTCAGGCAATGAAATTGCAAAGGACGGAACGACAATGTGATTTCAGTGCTGAATGTGTATTGAACAATATGAAATATCTATTTCAATGTATTCAAGATATAACCATTATTTATTGTGAGGTCAGTTTTCCAACATTCCTAATATGATTTCATAAAGAATTGACCACTTTTTATTAAAAAAAAAAACAAACGTACGGCGCTGTCCAGAAGGATGTTCATCTTTGAAAAACTGACCATGTTGAAGGTTATTCATAATGGTCCAAATTTGATACGAATCGAATGACCAATAGCTGAGATATAGAGGGGAAGTGCGTTTGAAATGAGACATACTGTATAATCGTTAATGTTAATAATTTTTTCATGAAACTTGTTACAGATTTACTTCAGAGGACGCTTCAAAATACAGCTTTTCTCCCTCTGAATTGAAAAAAAAAATCGTGAACATCGCACCATTAATAAAACAATTTTGACGGTGGCCCGCTTTCAAATGGGTCACTCTGTATATCCAGGTTGTGTTCCATAGAATATGCAAATCTTCTTTACTTCCTTTGACTTGAAGATCCCATATCCCTCTGTATAGCAACAGAAGGATTCATTTTGTCGTCTCAATTATTATTATCTGTGAAACTATCAACACAATTTTTCAACATATTTGTCCATGAAGCCTTTCATTCTAGAAGGAAATACGCTATTGGATCATCATGGGAAAATTATGAATATTCCCACTTACAGTCGTACTAAAAAAAAAAAAGTGTACAAGAATATTTGAGAGAGAAATTAACGTCATCCTATTTGCGTAAAACGAGCTATCGGGAATGAATGTTTACCCAATATTGACAGTAGAGTAATCTTAGGTTCTCAAAAACACAAAGCAATGACTGAGCCAGTTTCACACAACTAGAACTAGGATGCAGAAATTTCCTATATTTAATACTTGTACGCTTTTTTATTGAATACGACTGTACATTTCGTCCAATAGCAACCTGATACTTATTTTCGATCGATGGGTTTTATCTTGATGAAAGTACTCAATGAAAACCATGTATCAATTTTAAATTTCAAATTTGTCAAGGATTTGACGTACTGTAACTCTGTGGGAATGTGGATTTTCAGAAAGTAAGTCATAGGAATGAGAAAAATACGTATAAATTATTTTTTTACAAACTTTACAGTGAGATGAGAACCTCAATATAGGAACCTTCCCCATAACACTTCATTTTCTAATTTTGTGCATGACAGTGTTGCCAATATTGATATCCAGAATCAATTCCAACTTGGGCCACATTCGGCGTAAAATGGTCTATTCCACATTGGTCGTTTACCAACGGCACGAAAAAAAACAGAACCCCTCACCTTATCAGTCATCCTGTCCAAGAACGGCTTGATGTCCTCCTCCTCGGCGTGGAAGAACTTGTTCGGCTGCCCCTCGGCCGCCGCATACGTCAGCAGATCGATCGCCATCAGCCGGGCCTGCTTCCTGGTGGGCACAAAGACGATCGCCGGCTTGTGCGGGCTGTGCCGCAAGATGGCGTTGTACGCAGGCTTCGTCATCGCGATGAGGCGCGACGCGTTGTGTGTCACGTTGATACCCTAAGCGTAGGAATTCATGAAATATACAGTATCTTGACAAACGATAAGATTTCCACAAAATTGTCAAACACACGACATGTTTCGCTAACACAGTAGCTTCGTCAGGTGATATACTGGTACAATGAACAGTTCATTTTCATAGCATCGGTTACGAGTTTCGCACCTACTCGCGCACCTCCCTGTATATTGAACCATTTTTTCTGTACAACAAAACGATTTGTGAGATCGAATCACACTCAGGTACCAAATTTCGTGATTCTAGGACCAGATTATTTAGATGATGAAATAAAACTATCAAATATCTTAACCTAACACCAGGTCGGCACTTCGAAGGCGCAAATTCATTAATGCATGGGAGATACCCTTCAGATTTTCAGCTATTCGGTGACTTGACATTCCGGAAATGGCAGCCATTTGGATATCTATTGTCTTCACTCTAATTATAAAGTCACTGGCAACCCAAACATACCTGCACATGTAGTTCGAGGCCAACAGGCCGCACGCTCGGATGGAAGTTGAAGGTGGCGTTGGCGTTGCAGCCCAGCCACTGGGAGATGTCCTTGAAGTCGGTTAGCGAGGCGCTGAGCGCTATCACGCGGATAGGTTTCTCGATCTGGGACGATATGTACCTGGAAAATGGGAAAATATCTTAGACCAGGGGTGTTCAAACAGTCAATCGCAAGAGCTTTTGGAATCGATGGCAAAAAATAAATAATAGTCACTTCACAGACAACATTACAATTTTATTGAGTAGATATTTAACTTCATACAAGTATAATGAAAAGCCAAGCGCGTCCTGACAGGCTGTTGACTTTCATCCCCATCAGTTTGTAGAACGCTTGCCCAGATCGTCCCGTTTCATTGCAGAACCCTGTATGTTATCATCATCAGGAGAAGATTAAAACTGTTTTTTATATGAAGAGGAAGTTTCCAATATTGAGGTTTATCTCACTGGGAAGTCCTCTTTTCATGAAATCAACTTTCACTTCAGAAAAAAATGAAAGAGGAACTTGACTCCTTCACCATTCCTTTGAG